TTGGTGCGTGGCTCCATTCCATCCTTGCGTAAAATGTTCGAGTCGTCTACGGACAACAAAATTTCAGTTAATTGTTCTTCATAATTTTCTCAGTCCGTATAATTCTCGTGCATTATGAATCAAGAAGGATTTGAAACATTTTAGTCACCTGTTACACACTCGGAATGCGCCGAATGGTTTCGGTTGCATTCTTATTTGGTAGTAATAACTGATTTTTTTATTCAGTTACTCAATTTATTCAATATAAATGACTTCTTAAATTTATACTAATACTATGCATCACTGTAAGAAGTTTCTTCTCTCAATTCCATAGATTGCAGCATGAAAAATTGACAAAAGTTGTTTGAAAGCGATGTCATCTTGCGACCGAACGGATATTGGCCATAAGGCAAGACTTACTGATGATGGTCAATTCCAGTCCGGTCGAAGCGTCCGATCATCATTAAATGAAATTTTTTCCTTCTATTCCTGCTACCAAAGATGGAATCAGAAGGCATGTCAGCTTCGAGGTCCCTACTACTACTTGTAACCATACTACAGTAGGCATGTCATTCAATTAAGATGCAACGTTTTCATATGTGCAAAGCAAAATACACGACTAGCGCCACAGAAACCTGTCACAATGAATATAAGCTCTTAGAATTAACGCTTAGCATTCCCACAAACCTCCTTCCTGCTGCATGGTTCCCAAACATCTTCTCTGTCTCCTCGTTTGCAATTTTCAGTCTTTGAGGAGATTTCTGATACTCCTCTGAAACATTTGTGTGAAACTTCTCCTGCCACAACTTATCTTGACAATCGCCACGGTCAGTGTTTGAAACCATTTGCATGACCGCTGATGTTACCGAAAATGATGCGCACTGTTTGAATTCCAAGTTTTTTCCGTCTTTTTCGCGTGCCCCTTTACGAGACCTAAATGCATCAATTTATTCGCCCTCATGCATTCCTCACAATCTCAATGAGTATCATTAAAGACTAGAGAAGGTGCTACGGTGCGACTATCAAGTCTTTTCCAAGTACAATAAGAAAAATCAACCATCTGTGTTCCACAGCTATTCATTTTGCTTCGATTTAGACTGCTGAAGCGACTTGTCCTAAACGTTATGCTATTGTGCTAAACACTTCGTGTCATTTAATATAGACATAAATGGTCCTATTCATGAACTCATACCATTTCCTCGGTTATTTGCTAGTTTGTTCGCTTCCTATACATCTGCACAACAGAGATATTTTTTGCTAAGCAATAGATTTATCTTATTTCATGCAGGCAATATAAATTCCTAATGCTACACTTCTATCCATTAGGCATACCTGCTGGACAGCGGCATTCGCACTTTCACATTCCGCATTTCCTTTCGAATGCATTGCAGTCACTATGCTACTATTCAACATGTTATGTTTCACAGTTCACATTTATTGCTTCAGTATTCAAGTTAACTCCGCCGCTTCCGGTCCAACGTCCGGTTGATAAAGAAGAAGCATTCAAGGCTGTGGCGAAGTCTCCAGTAACATTTCGCCACCTGCCACTCATGGTATTGACGCCATCGAAAATTATACCGGCTCGGTCGAAGCCCGGGTTACCAATGGCCGCGCAGGCTATTGGCGAAATGAGGCAGACCGCGAAAAGTCGGCAAACAAAACCTGCTCATTGCTCTCCGCCAGTCGGGGCGTAGCAACAACGACGGCTGACGAAGACCGACGCAACGACGACGAAGATACCAGTCAGCAACGGAGTCGCTACCCGTTATCTGACGAAGACCGACGCAACGACGACGAAGATATCAGTCAGCAACGGAGTCGCTACCCGTTCTGAACGGACGAGGCAGACACCGCGATGCCATTAAAGCAGTCAGAAAGGATCGACGAGAAAGACACCGTCAGTGGGAGCATTCAGTCGGAAACGGAATGTATTTTCACACAAAGGCAATGAGCGCGAGTTAGTTGACGAGGCTGTAAAGTACCAACTCGACATTGTTGGACTCTCGTCAATGAAGCACTAAGACTCCGGAATCCTAAACCTCAGCGGGTGTAAGCTATTCTACACAGTTGTCGATATCGCGACGCGCGCTCAGGCCGGTGTTGGTAATCTGGTAGAACCCAACCTCCCGAATTAAATTACTGATTGGAAGCCTGTCAAGGGAAGGGTGATAATCATGCGACTGAAGCTACAACATGCTAAAGCGTTTACCGTGCTAGAGTTCAGTGCGCCCAATTTGGAAAGAGAATATGAGACCTTCCTTGAAGAAGTGCAGTGTGCTCTGTCCGAAGTGCCGAATACAGAGTCCCTCATA